GATACTTCAATTCAACTGATTTGCTCACCACTTTTTCTAAAGCAACCTAAAGAGCATTCCATCTGTATTAGTCTTTGTCTTTTACTATTTAAATCAATTAAAGGGGAAGAGGGAAAAGAAGGAAAAGAAGCTAGGTTTAGAGACTAAAATAATAATAGTAATAGTCAATTAAGGAAGTTAATTCCTCTACTATTTATTTAATATTTTTTTCGAAAACAAAATATTTATTTACTTAAACAGTATTTTATTTCTATTACTTTTGTATTGCACTTTCATTCATAAGAATTGTTATTTATTGCTATTTTGACTCAAGTTTCCATTTCTTAATAAGAGTAATTTGATTTTGAAAAATGAGATGGAGGCTTAGTCTGAGGAAAGGTGGAAGTACCTACTGTTTGGACTGATTGGAGAATCATCAGCAAAATAATAACCACATTTATAGAAGATGTTGGCGTTACTACTTTGGACTGGCTACCTCAAATTATGGACCTAAAACCGTGCGGGTAGGTACTATTTCCAAGGCTAGTTTTTTTTGGAACAAGACTCTGGTCCAAAACGTGTTCAGAATGTAATTGAAACCAGGGGGAGTAGAAGCTTTAGTTGAGGAAAGGGCCAAGTATCTACTGATTAATAATGATTAAACAATATGTAATATGCATATACTGGGAAAACATTTGCGAATTTGAGAGATAATTGCATATATATTTTCTTTATTTATAGTACAATTAAAGCTTTGAAACAAAAAAGGCCAAATAAGTGTGAATTTCCTTTTTTTACCATTTCTAAATTTGAAACTGAATTCAAAATGATAAATTATTAAAAAGAAGAAAATATAATAATTCAGAAACCGCTAGCATTAAGTTTTTTCCCACACTTAATTTGTAATGCTAACTTTATATTTATGCATTAACGTAATATTTGCATTAAAATTTCCACTGAAAGCTGAACTCTTTCAGTCTAATGGCATCAATTAACTTGATTGCAATTAGTTCCCACACTAATTAACCAATTTATAAGCGAACTTTCAGATACTCGTATATAACTGTATCAAAGTTTTAGAGGAAAAACCCCATCACTTGCGCATAATTGTTGCAAACTTTTTAAAGACCGTTTAAGAATTCGACTTCCGCGCTTCAACGTTGTACGAGTACGATTATGTGCGTGTGTTTGTGTGTATATATCAAAAGCGACTGCTGGCAGTCTAAATATTGGTATCAGACTATATCATCCAATGATGCCGAAGCTATGCGAAACAACTGGTTCGACAGCAGAGTGTGCTTTTGCCATTCAATGCTGGCATGCAAATCGCGTATCTCGCGTATCTCGCATCTTGTATCTTGTATCTCTGCGTACAATATTTTCATGCCTCGCAGAGCACACAACACATTCTAATGCAACAACAACAACGACAATAACAACAGCAGCTACAGCATTCCCGGTTGGGTAGCATAATTTAGTTGAAATCAATAAACCAATTACAGTGCCTCATATGGTGGCAACTTAATGAACTGTAAAATCGAATTCAATCACTGGAACGAACGGCCACAAACAACAACAACAACAACAACAACAGTGCTGAACAATTAATTTCAATGTTTGCTAATCATAACAACAAATCCGTGCAAATTTGGAGAAAATTATATGCATTCATGTGTCCAGCAAACAAAAAACAACACAAAATGGAAGTCAAACAAAAAAGTTCAACTTTTTTTTGGTATTACAAAAGAAAAGAGAAAGATCAACTGTAAATGCGTGAGTTGCCATTGTTGTTGTTGTTGCTGTTGGTGTTGGTGTTGTCGATTTCAAAGCAGCAACAACAATCGCACACCGAGTGATTGGGGACAACGACAGCACAAGTATGTACATACAAGTATGTGTGGGTTACAATGCACTTGTGTTATACTCGTACTCCGTATGTAAGTTTGTATTACTTTTTACTATTTGCGGCATTTGAAGAGAGGCAGAAAAAAATGAATGCTAGCTACAACAAATTTCACCTAATTATGCACAATGCCAACAACAATAACACCAACAATAATAACAATAATAATAAAAACACTCGTTGAACTCTTTACATTCAAACACATTTCTCATTTCGTTTCATTACAATTTTTTGGATTATTTTTAGCCCACAAAAAATCTTCAGTACACTTGACACAGCAACAACAACGACTGCGACTGCCACACGACGGCGAAAACGAGACTTCGACTTCAACTTCAACAATTTCGACGCACTCTGAACGTGCCATGCGCACCTGCGACGCCTGCGAACTCAAAACTGAACTGAACTGAGCTGAACTGACTTGGCTTAATTCGCCCGGTCGGTTGCTCGTTCGGCCCCCATTCATGCGAGTTAACAGCAACAGCAACGGCAACGGCAGCAGCGACCGCGACTGCGACAGCGACGCGACGTCGCGTCTGCGCTCTTCACTCTCGTCCAAACTCAGAGAAAGTGAGTGTGAGTGCGAGTGCATGTGTGGAACAAGAAGAGTGTGAGGCTAGATATGGCAGCGAGCCGGCATTCGCGCCACTACACGCTGCGGCCACGCCATGCACTTGTAAGAAGAACCAAAGAACACGTTCATGGAGTTTGTATTTGGAAGCCAGCAACTGCAGATATGTTTAAAAATTTAACATCAATTCTGAAAAATTACCAATTTCATGATGAAAAAGTTAATAGAAAATGAAAATTTAGTTAAGATTCTACTAAATTCATTTTTGTTTAAAGAGAAATGGAAAATACTAGCTGGTATTGTCATATCCATCATATTGTCAATATTCAAATTGAGTTTTTTAAAATAATTTGTTTCCAGTAAACAATAAATGTGTCTTATTCTAAGCTTTAAAAACATCATCTGTCCTAGCAATCATTCCAATCAGCATACAATTCTCGACAATATTACATCCTTTTCTATTGGACAATTAAAAAAAAATACTTTTTTAAAAGTGCTATTCGAAATTTCATTTCGTTTTAGGATATTTGTAGATGTGGAACATAAGGCACGAGCGCGTAAGTGTAGACAGGAAGAAAAACACGACCCATACCCATCTCTATTGTGAGAGTGTGTGTGAAAACCGGCTTGCGGCTGAGAGTGTTTGTTTTTCCCCCCCACATGCCGCGCTCTCGCTCTCTTGTCGGCAGATTGACTTGCAACACTTGCGTTGCAGTTGCAGCACCATTGTTGTTTTTTCCGCTGCCTTTTTTTGTATTTTTTATTTATCGCCAGCCGCTTTTGCTGCATTCAATATGCCGTTTATACTTGGCTAGCTCACATTTCAAGCGTCTATCTGGCAGGTTTTTGTTTTGTTTCTTTTTTATCGCCATCGTTGCAGAGATTGTTGTCTGCAACAACACAACGGCAATCGTTCGCATTGTCGCACGTTGGCTGTGCCGCAAATATGCCGACGATTGTTGCCATCGTCGCCGCACTTAATCATAACTTTAACCAAATTATATCATAGATCAAGCCAGAGGTGTGTGCCCCACACTCCACACCACCCCAGACATTTACCACACACGCACACGCACACACACACACACTGCCACACAACATACATACATGTGTATGTGACAATGTTAACTTTTTATGGTCGCAGCAGCAAGTTTTTTACTTTTCTACCTGTCGTCGGTGCAAGTTCAAGTGCTGGCAACCCCACCAGCACACACAATGCACAATCCATTCCATTATCCTATGCTGCCTGCCTCCCTCACACTCACACACATACACACACACTTGCTCATACAGCTAGTGATGACAATTATGAGCGTCGTAAAAAGCCAGATTAGCAATTAAAAACAATCTAGAAAGGGCTCAACAAATTGTAATTCAAAGAGCATAAAAGCAGATTAATCATTGTTAATAATCCCAAAAAGAGGTTTCCCTTAAATTTGGAGCAATTCAAATTGATATAAACTGGAGTAGTCCACATAATTTTGTGAGGACAAAACGACCATTAACTGTTAACGTTTTAGTATTGTATTGTGAGATCTTTGTTTAGTTGCATTAAATAATTTGTTTGACAACATCGCAAATAGCTGACGACAAAAATGGTGACAAATTGAAATCCACTCCAGAAATACCTCGAACTTCATAGAATAGAGTCCAACTTCGTAACCTCATTCGATTTATAGTTCAAGCGAATTCATTCATTACTTATTCTACGACTTTAAAATATTGCTTCGTTTTTCTGTACAACGTGATGGAAATTGAAACCAATGTCTTTCACACAATACTTTTGTTGAACACATACAACAATAACTGCTAAATGTGATAATTTTCGGATCTACAATATTTTCTTTCGCAACTCCCCATTCAAAGTTTAAAAAAACAGTTAAGTAAATGACACGATAACAACCAAATACTGCAGACAAAAAAAAAGCATTTGAGTCGGATCGAAGTTAATATTAATTCATTAAATGAGCACTTGACTTTACCAAGACCAGAATGGAAAGCTCAGATCTGTTTATACTAAGATCTTTCCCGCAGCCAGCATTCCAGCAGACCCAGCACTCTCTGGCAATAAAATTAAATGTCAAGCTGACAAGACATTCTAAATACCAAGGCCTTTTTGTTGCTGTTCGGTTAAACAAATAGTTTAACTTTTAATAACGCTTGAATTCCCGCCATTACCAATGTTGCTCTAACTCTACAGCATTCCAAAACCCGCAGAATTAGCTAAAAAAATGGGCTCTTAATTCTAACATCATTAGTAACTGTTTAATTTCGAATAATGCTATAATTCCCGACAGTCTCAATTTTATATGTTTTCAGCTTTTAGACACATCAGAACTAGCGGGAAATAAGCCGAGTTGGCAGTACTGTTTAAAGCTATGGCTGTATACGACTCTTAATTCTAAGATCATTAGTAACAGTTTAATTTCGAATAATGCTATAATTCCCGACAGTCTCATTTTATATGTTTTCAGCTTTCAGACACATCAGAACTAGCGGGAAATAGGCCGAGTTGGCAGCACTGTTTAAAGCTATGGCTGTACTCACCTCACTTGTAACTTGAGCCTGGCTTGTATCTGTTTCGTTTTTGGTTTTGATTGCATTCGTGGGTTTCTTTGGCTTTTCGTTCGTTTTTGTTTTCGTCGTTGATATTTTAGTTTGTTTTTCTTGTTGTTGCTGGTGTTGTAGTTGCTCACTCTGCTTCTTGCTGTTGTGCAACACTTGCAGGTCCTTCTTAAGTTGTCCTATATTACGTTCTTTGGTCTTGATTTCCTCTAGCTGCAAAAAAAATAACACAAAGCAGAAAACGACTCATTTAAGCAAGTCAAGAGGCCAAATAGTTGTTTCTTTGAATCTTAAATATCTACTTAAAGATACACCTTTACACCTTTTTGCGGAAGTCGGCGCGTTAATGTAATTACACTTTTACGATGTCCATGTTAATTTAAGCCATTCCATTTTTCAATTACGTCATAAAGCCCATATTATCACAACTAACGAGCTGCGAGCAGTGAATGAAGGCATTATGAGAAATTTTTGTACTGTTCGAGTAAGTCGTCGTCATTACAGGAAATCTCAGATATTTCTACAAACTCCAAATCAAATGAATTCGAACTGTCTTCGTTCGTTTTTAATCTTTTGGCCAAACCTCATTAACTTATTTCGAAAATTGCAAACCTTTGCAGTGTTTATCTAAGCTGGCATTTTTATATATGTATTTATTTTAATTTTAGGAGAGAAATAACTAAGCATAAAGATAGTTAATATTGAAACTTAATTGAACAAAAATTATAGCCCATTTTTAAATATATTATGCTCAATTATGTGGCAGCTTTAAAACCTTTTAAACATAGTTTCTCTGTGCTTTTTCTCCTAACATGCTCCGTAGCAAAATTTTAACTAATTTTCAGTTCAGAAGCTTCTACGTTACAGAGTAAACGTAAATATAATTAATGTCTCTTTCTTTCTATCTGAAATCATCTTAGTTTAAAATAAATAATTTTTTAATATTAATTAAATTTCTCTAATCATTTGCGTCTTGATCCCAACTAACAATCAATCATGTTATTTGCTTTATTTTATATTTTTGTTTTCGAATTATTAATAAAGACCCTTAATAAATTATGCTCGAATATAAATTTTGAAATATTAAACGTCCTTTTAATAGAAGTATAATTAATCAAGTTTTTGTACATAAATAAGTATATCTATATATATCTCTATTAAACATAGCTCAGGAAGACAAAGATGTTAGCTTCTGGGGATCCATAAAAAAATGAAAATCAGTCAATACCTTTAAAAATAATTAACAAAATGAAATAGATAATAGATTTCAAGAGCAATGTTTGAACAGATTCCACTCGAAAAATTTAGAACTATTCTGAGAAGTAATTTAATTTAAAGCCAAAGACCATCATTTGACAAACTCCGAAACTTTTGTTTGTTGCGCAGTGTTACGCACAAATTGCATATTTTTTAATAGTTTTGTTGTTGTAACAGTTTTTAAAAAGTAAACCGCTTGCCACTCTAAGCTGCTGTTGCAGTCCCAGATCTCGGAAACTTACCAAACGTGTTATTTCAATTTTGGCCGATTTCTGTATTTGAGTCAATCGGATTTCATATGCATTTTTTAATGTACGCATATCGGCGGCCTTGCGTCTATCAGCCTCGCCATTTATCTGCAATAGATCGTAAAGGGGGGCATTGTGTCAGGGGGGCACATGAGACGGCTGACAAATAGCAAGAACAACAAGAGCAACAAAAACAACGGCCAACAGGCCAACACGAAGCGATGGAATGTTAGTTGCACTTTGTAAGAAAAAAGAAAACAGAAAAAAAACGCATACATTTCCATTAACTAAACGAGTCACACATGGTATGATGTTGTTTGCCGAATGTCCTTTCAGCGCCTTGTCATTCGGAAATGGCAAACAGTGCGCATTAATGGAATTAGCTTTCGGTGTTTATTTTTTTGCAAAGCTATAAAAACAAAGGCGTAGCGACAGTTCCGGAACAGTCAACACATCCCAGTCCAAGCAGAATGTTTGCATATCGCATAATTCTGCTATTGGTTACATCAGTTCTAACTATTTCTGGGGCTGATGCCAACACTAAGATCCCATTGGAGAGCCACCTGGAATCCGGGTTGGTGTTGCAAGTAAGCAGCTTGCTGTGCCAGGCAAGCATTAAGGAGCTCATTGTGTACTTCGAGAACGAAACCTCCAGGCACCAGACAAGGGAAATACTGCAGCAAGTGACACAATGCGGCATGTCCTACATATCATTAAGGTACTAAAAATATCCTTTCTGAATAGAAAATTCCAAAAACACTAACTTCCTATTACACACTTGATAATAAGCTAAAAATCAAATTAAAGAATTGCAAGGATTTCTTTTATGTTTGACGCATGTGTTGATTGAATTCGTCCTGAAATCCTGTACTCGAAAGGTGAAAAACCTGCTTTGAATTGAACGAAAGTATTCAAAGCTATTTAGTATGTTCCCGACTCAAAGCCCGTCTTAAAAACTGTATTTTCGTACCTTTTAAAAATCTGTGACATATTTTCCCGTGAATAATTCAAGAAATCTACTAAAGATGAGGGACGAAGAGTTCGCAAACTAGCCCTAGTCTTAGCTTTAAAGCCATTTAAAGCAGATCGATACTGTTCGGTTATGGATAAGCTTCTAAAAAATCACATCTTCTATAGAACATTTAGTATAGAACAGAAAAATAACAAATCTACAAAGATCCTAATACAAATTTTCTAAGTTTGGGGCGTTCATATGAATGAGAAAGTCATATACACCTTATTCTGTTTTTACACGATTCTGATATAACACGGTTTGAAAATTAAGAATTGCATATATATTTCTTTAGAGATAAGGAACCAATCACCTCTTTTTGCATATGATTTTTTACACGGTTGTTTCTGGAACCAATCTACCGTTTTAAAACAGAATTAGGTGTATCTATATGCGTCATCTATATCTATGCGTCTCCGATACTTGCACCTTATATTTTCTAAATTATAAGTAGTATAACGATTTGTTTATTATTTCATATCCTTTCTTATTTCCCCTAACCTCTTCTTCTAATTGTTACAGTCACTCGTTTTAGATGTGTATCATAATATTAACACTAATATTTTGGTAATTTCTGGTTATACGATTTGTGAAACTGTATAACCTCTCACTAAAACATGTAATTTTTATCTAAATGAACTTTCTTCGTTATTCTAAAGTCTTCTTCTGTGTCGATTCCGAATTCTTTCATTTAAACAAATCGACAGGAAAAAAATTAATTCTCACACATTATTTCCACACTTAATAGCTAGGAAATCTCTGGAAACCCAACTAAGCTTTGTTGTATTACTTCATTGAACGTATTTGAAGAAAATAATTCTATAAACACCTTAAATTGAAGAACGCGCACCTTAAATGTTTCTTTCTCCACCTCTCTACCTTCTAGAAATCGAAACCGCTCGGGTCCGCTGGAAGCAATCAAGGACGACGGCGTTCTGATGTATATGCTGATGATTCAGAACGATATATTACAGCCGTTGGCGTTATCTTTGTTTCGCAAGAAATCGGCAGCGAAACATCTGTCGCACGTCTTTCTGTTGATCCGTAACTCGGAGAATGTGTCGGACGCCTGGCTGCGGTCCACTTTCAAGCAATTCTGGCAGATCTGGTTGCTCAACATTGTGATTATATATTGGCGGGCAGAGCGTCTGCAAATCTATCGCTATAATCCCTTCAATGACAATTACCTGATCGAGGTGCGTTACGGAGCGGAGTTGCCGAAATTGCGAACACTTTTCCCCACCGTCATTCCCAATATGCAGCGGAAGCCGCTGCGGATGTGCATTTATTCGGACGAGGTGCGCTCCATTTATGGGTCAAGGGGTCAGATTTATGGCACAGATGGCCTGATGTCGGAGTATATAGCGGAGCGTTTGAATGCGACGCGCATGGTGAGTCGCGTGCAGCTGGATGGGCAGCACAATCTGAGTGCCGACATCTGTTTTATGGAAATAGCCAAGGAGTACGACGATGTGGCGATGAACATACGATTCCTCTCCCCGGAGTCGTTTGGCAAGCATGTGGAGTTCACGGTCGCCCACAATCGCGATGATTTGTGTGTGATTGTGCCGAAGGCGGATACGGCGCCGACTTTCTGGAACATGTTCCGTTCGTTTGGGTGTCTGGTTTGGCTGTCGTTGCTGGCCAGCCTTCTGCTGGCTAACATCTTCTGCTATTGGACCCATCACGGGCATGGCATTGGCGTGGGTCTACACATATTTGGCTGCATGCTCGGCCATGCTCTGCCGCTCTCGAGCGTTCCATGTCGCTCCTCGATGCGTCTCTTCTTGGTCTTCTGGCTCTACTTCAGCATGCTCATCTGCACGGCCTTCAAGGGCAATCTGACCAGCATGCTGGTCTCCCACAAGAATCTGCCGGACATCAACGATCTGCCCACCTTGGCCCAATCGGAGTATCGTTTGCTCACCCGGCCCCGTCATCTGAAGCACATTGAACGTTTTCTGCTGCGCGACCACCAACTGGAGGGCAGAGTCCGGCAGCTGATGCTACCCGTGCCGGATATGGTGCTGCTCAGGACTCTGCGGCGAAACGATCTCTCCTATGCCTATCTGGAAAAATATCACATCGCCAAGTTTCGTGTGCAGGAAAGAAGACACACGGAACGAGGCCGGCCCCTCTTCCACCTCATGGAGAACTGCCTGGTGCCCTTCCATGCTGTCTACATCGTGCCCTATGGCTCCCCCTATCTGGGCTATCTGAACAGACTAATACGCAGTGCCCACGAGTTTGGCTTCGAGCGCTACTGGGATCGCATTATGAATTCGATTTTCCTCAATGCTGGCGCCAAGGTCGTCCATAGACGCCGTCGCCAAAACACTGACGACAGTCCTGTGGTCCTCAAAATCGAGCATCTGCATGCCGTATTCTGTTTGTGGGCGGTGGGCGAGGCACTAGCGCTGCTAGTATTTCTATGGGAACGACTCAAACGCAACTAGACGATCACAAGACATGCTGGCAACTCAAGCCTTCATGCACACCTACCTGGCATTTCTCCTCTTTGGTTCTATTCGCTTCCTTTAGCGCGGCAATCTCGTTTGTCAGTCTTTGAATTTCATAGTTAATGAGGCCATCGGCCGATATACTCGTGCTTGTGCTCAACTCTCCGTTGGCCAAGTCTTGGGCCTTCTTCTGTGGTGTGGGCGGATTGCTTTTCTGAAGTTTCTTCACCTCGGCTCTCCATTTGCGACCATCGGCATCGTTTTGCGCCCTAAAATAAAATATAATTATGAAATTGTATTTGACTTTATAAAAATATCTATTATGTGATTACAAGAAATATCTTTCTGAAAAAATAGAGGTAGAGTTGCATTTACTTTCCTATCCTCCGCTTAGTCTTGGATAAATAAGTAGAAGTACGGGTAAGTATAAATTTTTGCTCACCTCAGTGCCCTTACGGCGCTTCGTTCGGTTATTAGACTGGACTTTAGTTCGTTGATTTCCAGTCGTAGCTGCTCGGTGAGGGCGTTTAGCTTCTGGATGGTGTCCAGACTTTCCTGCATTTTGCGCTTGAAGCGCTGCGGTGTGGTATTCGATACATTGGTTGTGATAACGCCGCCTACGAGGACCGGGCGTTCCACTTTCTTGGTGGGGGAGGCTTGTTTGTTTGCGGGCACCTTTGTCGCAGCGCTATTATAATTGTGGGCCGAATGCTCAAATGTGTTTGTATCTCTGGGGCGCAACTTGCCGCGACAATTCAATTGGATGCCCTCGATGCGTGTGCGTTTCTCCTGATTAACCGTATCCCCCACTGAGGTCAATGAAGCGCTTAGCTTCTTCTTGCGTTTCAATTTGTTCTTGCCCAAGACAATTGTCTCCCAATCTTCCTTATGGCGCCCAACGGGGGGCACATTCTCGTGCCTATTGTTCGCCTGGAAGCTCTGTTTACTGTTGGGCCCTCTTTCCGGCGCCAACTTTCGCACTGCGCCATTATGAGGCGTCAATATGTGTGCGGAATTCTCTTCTAATCCTTTGCTAGAGGTCGTTTCAATGGTATTTTCAGCCATTTTTTAGGGGTTTTTCGTTAATGGTTTTTATATGAAAATATGCCGCTATCGTTTCAAAATTCTATGCATATGTATTGTGATGTATTATGGTCCGACCTTAACGAAAGTCTCACAACATTCTAAATGGTCAGGCGACAGCTCAAGTTTGCATCTCTGAATTCAATTCAGGGGTTAGCTGTAATGAAATGTAGAGAAAGGAAGGGTATTATTTTTGTGGAAGCAGAAACCGCACTTAGCAATTATATAAATAGTGGACATTGTATTCTCCCCCTTGACTTTGCTTACAGTTTTTGTTGACTCTGTTTAGCAAACTGATAACGAAATTAGATTCTTAACAGATTACTCAACATGTTGAATGCAAAGAAAACGGCGAATTCTTTTAGAAACTTTTAAATTTTCAAAGCTAAGTGGGAGAGAACTCTATGAAATTTGGTTGGCCTGAGTATCACTGATATGCCATCCTAAAACTATTGCAGTTTACATTTCTTTTTAGAATACTTTGAGTAAAGTCGTTCTTTATAGAGTTGCATTTTCTAACCCGTATTTTGCGAAATTTTGAACATATTTTGTTACAATTGCAGTAATGGTCAGACTAGCAGATAATTTGTACTAAAATTGGTCGAATTGCTGGAGCATGATTAAAATTAAATGTTCAATCAGCATTAGCATTAATTTTATATAAAAGATGGTTAAGTAGTTTCGAAATAATATTTTAACTTGAGTGTAAGGTTATGACAGGCAAATTCTGCAAAGCTTTCATCAATTTCATATTCCATCGATCAAAAGTAATATTATAGTACTACCTTATAACTGTTCTAATGGTCGACCAGAAACATGAATAATTTTCCACATCAGCAGATATCTTAGAAATTATCAACGAGCTCTGATATAATTATAATTATGTTTAGACAGGCAAATAATTTGTACACAAATTTACTCGAGCTTGGAATTTGATATTTTTTTGGAATGAAGACCAATTAGCACAAATCTATAGTTTTCCCAAAAAATGAGTTTGAAGCGTACTTTTTAAATTGAAAGAAATTTTGTGCGAATTGTTTGCCTATCCAATAATAACTTAAAAGAGACTATTCAAAAAATTTTTAATCACTTATCCGAAAGCCTAGCTTTACTGTGTGTGTGTTTCTTTATTGAATTTAAGAGCCTAGCTTAGGATTAACCGAACACTGACTGTTTTGGAATGAAAAATCAATGAAATTTTCAACTGGGAAACAAAGCGAATATTATCCTGATATACCAGACAAGGTATCAGGGAGAGTCTCACGTGGAGACTCCCCCCCTCATAATAATATAATAATAACTATAAATACATATTCGAAATATTTTATATTTGAAAGGGGGGACCAGCCGAGTGTTTCTCTCTTTCTTGGCCGCACATTTTTCGTTTTCGCCAACCAATTAGGAATGGGAATTATGTAATGGAGACATTATTATTATTTTTTTTTTTTGCACATTTTAAGGTAGGGCGATAAAGTTCTGAACGGCTGTCTTTCACGGTAAACATGCAAAATTCTGCACCCTACCATAAGACACAATGCCCCAACAGCTTGTTTAGCATTCGTTTTGTCCGACTTCTACCCATCGGGCTGCTTGCACTTCTATGGCTGCTGTTTATAGTCGTTAGTCGCTAGTCGTTAACTTCTGAGCTATTTTGCCACACCAATCAACAAGTGTAACACAGAAGGCAAGAAATAGTTCGCCTTCTATTGATTTTGCTGCCACAGAGCTTTTCCACCGCCCCACACCCAAATGCAATTTAACATACAAAGTTTCTTTCTAGTTTTTTTTGGTGTTTGGTATCTAGTATATGGACTAGTCGGAGGGGTAAGTGCGTTCATACTAAATACAAATTACATTTCATTGTTGGTTGCCACATGACGTCATGTGGCGCGCCTTTTCATGCATATAGAAGAGGAAGGAGGGGTGGGGGGTGATGTGCGTGCCACACACGCTATAACATATGTAACAAATTCTGTATCATGTGGGGCCTATCAGCAACTAGAGCAAAATTCTTTGCATTAAAGAGCTCTATATATATTCATATATATGTTTACGTACAATTTGAACAATGTATACAATGTGCTTGCATCCGCTTTAACAAGCACACAAAGGCTATATATATATATTAATCCACATATAGGCGCTGATGTCTAGCCGGAGCACTCATCAAGAGTTCAATAATAAGTAGCCGAGAATACTATATAGGTACTACACTACAGTATAGATGCGCTTTAGAGACCCTTTTCGAAACTCTCTTAAAAATTGCAGCCTCACATAAAAGCACATTTAATCGCAAAGCTTCGCAAATTTCCAATAAAACCGAACCATTGTGGTTGTAAACGTGTTTCCATCTAAGGCCGCCAAAATATGGCAATATTTAAAATCGCAGAGTGAAGCAAAAGTATGACAAATTAAGCAGATTACTCAGCTCCTATGCTCTCTGACTAATAGCAGGCAATGCTGTATATCAATATTAGCATTATACAAGTATATAATCCGAATGGCAATATGAATCAATAAAGAGCATTTTATTTTGAAAACTAAATAGCCATTTCGGTTATGTAAAATGTGATGGAAGATGAAACGACTCTGTCGTACCTAGAATTAAAAAAATTAGCTTCAGAATGAATACAAAAAAAAAAAATTTGTATGAATATTAAAGCTATACAAGTCTATAAATCAGTTTGATATCAAAGATGAAAAAAAATTTTAAAAATAAATATCAAAGTAAATACTTTATATGTACATTAACAAATTTATGAATAAACTTGATAAGGAATAATATAACTATACAAATCGAATATCAAAATATAATATAATACATGAACATAAAAAAACAATTTAAGAACAACATAAAGCGAATATGATAATCAGTTTCAAAATAAACAATAAAGAAGTGTGATATAAAAATATACAATTATATAGGAACATAAAAAATGTCAATTTAAGAATCAACATAAAAATTAATAAATAAATAAATGAATAAATAAATCTTAAAATAAACCATCAAATCGGTTCGATATCAAAGATGAAAATGTTTTCGAAAATAAATATCAAAATGAATACAAAAATCAATTTTAAAAATAAATATCAAAATAAATGAAAAATGCCTTTAAATTAATATTGAAGGTAATAAGAAATAAATAAGAAATTTTGTATAAGAACAATTATTGAAAATAAATGCAAAAATATGTGTATAATCATAAGCTTTTTTATGATTCCAAATATGCGAAATTATGTTGGCGAAATAATTGCAAAATAAGCGAAACGAAATTGTTCAATTTAAAAGATGTGCACAAATGTTTATTTTGCATAGGTAGCGATCGCCGAGATTTACAAAGTTTATGCTGGTAGACGGAAAGCTAAGCTTCTCCGTACCAGATGCGATAACGAAAAACGAACTTGACTTGCAGAGTTAGCGACAATAACTAGTACATATGTGGCGGCTGCGCAGCAGCCTATGCAAATTTATGGCAACAAAAGGAAACGTTAAGTGCTCGGCTTGCTATGCAAAGCAAGCGACAAGAAAACGAGCACTTTGCATTGAGTTATTTACGTTACTTATTAACTATGATGTGCTGCTGGTTTTGGCTGTTTTTGGCCGGATGACCAAACATACTCCCCCTGTTGAAGAACCAGGGTCTTCAACAACATCTTGTTTCGGCAGCGGGCATAATTTGCGAACGGCTCGCCGAATGGTTCCAGTGGAAGTCCTCAATTCTGCAACTCTCGACACGCCATCTGCGCCGCTGATGAGGCTGACCACCCTTGCTAATGGCCATTTGAGGGGCGGCAAATTCTCGTCCTTGACCAGAACGACATCATCAATGGAGAGTCCAGGCTGCGACACTCGCCATTTTGAGCGCTGTTGAAGAAGCGTCAAGTATTCTTCACGCCAGCGAGCCCAAAATATCTGCTGGTAGTACGTCACGCGCTGCCATCGATCCAGCCGATTGAAATTGAGCTTCGTCAGATCAGGCTCAACGTACGTTGACAGCGGAGCAGCACCAAGAAAATGAGCTGGAGTCAAGACATCGAGATCTGCTGGATGTTCTGAAAGGGATAACAATGGGCGAGAATTAATAATTGCCCCGATATGGCATACAAGCGTGCGCAGTTCATCAAATTCGAGCAGCGATAGTCCGACGGATCTGTAGAAATGATGCTTGGCAGTCTTTACAGCCGCTTCCCATAGACCACCAAAGTGAGGCGAGCGCGGCGGAATGAAACGCCAATCAATACAGTCAGCAAGGCAAAATTCTTGCACAGCCTGCAGGTGCTCGCTGGATTCAAAAAGACGCTTTAGCTCAGCCATCTCGTTCCGTGCGCCAACGAAATTTGTAGCGTTGTCAGACCAGATCCTCGTAGGTCGACAGCGCGTCAAAATAAAGCGTTTAAGTGCATTTAAGAATGCTCCGGTGGTTAAATCCTTCACCAACTCCAAATGCACAGCCTTGGTGGCGAAGCAAATGAAAATGCAAATATAGCATTTTATTGGTGCCTTATTGCGGACCTCGCTTTTGTAGAAAAACGGCCCACAAAAATCCACACCAGTGACCATAAAGGTATGTGAAGCATCAACTCGATCCTTTGGCAGGTCAGCCATAACATGCTCCACAAGACGAGGCTTGGCTCGAAAACAAATGGTGCATTTGCTGACTACGCTGCACACTGTTTTCCGACCGCCAATTGGCCAATACTGCAACCGAATTGAGGCCAGCAATGCACGAGGTCCAGAATGCAGATTACGGACATGGTAGTGCATAATGACTGAACGCGTGACTGGATGACGCCTTGGAAGTATAATTGGATGCTGGGCTTCAAAGTCGAGCGCAGAGTTACTTAGACGGCCACCAACGCGCATCAATCCAGAGCTGTCGAGAAACGGAGATAAAGAAAGACAGGAGCTAGACGATTTCAAAGTGTGTCCGGCCTGCAAGGTCTTGTATTCGTCCCGAAGCGTAGACATTTGAATTGAGCGCATCAACAGCAGTGTACCATGACGGATGCAGTCCACCGATAGCCCAGGAATTCGTACACGGTGCAGGAACTTGTATACATATGCAAACACGCGCTGCAGCTTTCCAAATGTGTTAACATATTTGCATTGCTGTGCAATGTCTTCGCACAGTGTGGTGCTTACAAACACTTTAGAGC